ATATATATATATATATATATATATATATTTAGACTCATCTTTAAATGTTGTCGGTTCATAAGAACGTACCTTTTCATTAACTGAGTTATTGAATCATTAAGGATTATGAATATAAATAAGACAAAAATTAAGAAAAAACTCATAGCAAAAAAAAAAAAAGAAAGAAGAAGAACAAGAGCAAGAAAAATAAGATTAAAAAGATGATGATAACAATGATAACATGGAACAATCAAAAATGTGAATTGTACATATTTACTCAGTTAGGAACTTTCTGAACCGAAATATATTTTTCAAACTGTTCAGTTTTTGCTATTACAAAGCTGTGGGTCTGTTTATGTTTCTGTACAGCTTATAATACATTGAAACATCTGAGCATCATTACATGGTTCAGAGCCATCTTTTGTAGTTGTTTCCTGATGAGCTTAAATGCAAAACATGCAATATAAGACAAAACATATGGGCCTTTATAATGATTAGTGACTACAGACAATTGTGTTTAGATTGTAGTATGTCCGGACAGCTTTGCTGTGGACATCCTATTAATTAATTATTCTTAAGTCTAGTTCAAGCACAAATAATATTAATTGTTTAATTAACAACGGATTATTTCTTTTTCGAGTTAAATTTCTGCCATGTGACCAAGATAACTTGAGAGTGGAGTGTATAATTAGTGACATGAGACGCCATTTATCTTTGACCCATCAGAATAAATGCGGTCATTTATTTAACAGAATCAAAAATTAACATCAAAACATGTACACTTGATTTGCTGATCTGTTTCTGATTAATAAACTTAGCAAGTTCAAATAACAAGACGACAGAGGATTACTTATGGAGAATAATTCATCTCTGAAGGCATTTAGCTTGATTTACTGGCAAAGAGGTTTCAAGAGGAGATATTGAAGTTTAAAGAGGAGGATTTAGATAGAGGAAGGAAAATGTGTTGACCAAAAATGGCACCCTTCATCCGACCCCAGCTCAGCCCTCGGTACACAGTGCGTGACAACTCGTTACCTTTGCAGAAGATAAATCAGCTCCTGTACAGAGGTCCATTTCATGCTATCTTTCAGCGTCTCCGGTCAGAGTGGCTGGGAATCGTCCGAAGTCGTGACGAAGTCCGTTCAACAGAATAAGCTCTTACTTAGAAGGAATCTTCATTAGAAGTTGTAGGGCGTTACGCCCGGGTGAGTTCACAGCGAGGCGTGCTGTGACTCCGCTGGAATGGACAGACCCTTGGCTCATGGTCCAATTCCATCAGCTAAGACAGAGTAAGACTTTCAGTAAGAACTGAAAGTTCCAGTAAGACTTGTCGTCAGACTGAGTCTTCCAATAAGACTGAATAGTTCCAAGAAGTGTTGACTTTTAAAGGGTATCCACTTCCTGTTATTTGGTACTTACGGACTGGTTAACACAACCAGCAGGGGTGGAGTTTTAGTGATATCAGAGGGTTATTAGGAGTCGCAGACAGCAGAAATGTTTTTAAGAACGGTTAGTACAGACAGGAAAATATTTTGAAGAAATGACAGACTTTCAGGCGCGCCACTTTCTTATTTACTGTCTGAGAGTTTTAAAACAAGGCACTTCATTCTCATAACTTGTTCTCTGACTTTTGACCAACATCAAATCCACTCCTCATTCAGACAGAAGAATAAAATGCACAATTACTTCGTAAATAGACATTTAACTTGTATGATCTAAGTCTAATGAGGTTTAAAAAAATCATTAATACTGTTTCACAGTTGATTTAAATGAGTGGTTTACTTCAACATTAGAAATGGTATGAACTAAACACACTTTTGATTATCAAGATATTAAAATAGTAATGATAAAATAAAAAAAAGAAGAGTGCTCTTTCAATTGATTAATTCAGGATACAATTAAATAGTCTCTTGATGAGGTAATTTGTATTTCTGGACTCAAATCAATGAAATAACAGTCCCTGTCCCCTTAAGGTCTTCAGAGACAGATTGATGTAGGAGGTCTAGTTCACTACAAGATTACCAAATGTAAATAAAAAGGCTTCCAGACCAAAGATTTTCAGTAAGCATTGAGGGAGTCCAGACAATTCAAATTAGGGTGGTCTACCCTCACTGGGTTGGGAGTAAGATGCCCCCTCAAGAGAAGGGGAACAATAAAGGAAAAATGCAGTGTGAAAACAACAGATGGCTCAGTGCAGTATTGTCTACTCTGTGCAGGCTTGTTGTGATGAGAGGGAATTGAGATGCAAAAATGTAGAGCCGCAACTTGTCCACATTGACAGGAGCTAGTTGAGGTGGTTCAGGCATGGACACCCCCAGACACCTCCCTAGAGAGGCTGTCTGGCTTCAATGGGGAGGAGACCCCTGGAAAGACACAGGACACAAAACTGTCTCACTCCTTGTCCTGATGCATTCTCAATAATCCAGGTAGCAAAAGTTAACAAGGTTAAATCCATCCAGGTCCTCTGGATGGATTCTTCTGTCTCTGGTTGCATGAATGGTTTTCATCTGACATCTGAGCTGGTTTACTTCTGTTAAATAGTACTATATCAAATTTCCCTTTTTTAATACTATTTTTAAATTATTTTGTTTCTGTAAATTATGATTGAGAGAAATTGATCAAACATATATTTTGTTGACCTGTTATTATGATGACTACAATTTATCTTGCATTGTTCTTAAATGGTGGTGGCAAACTTGATATATATTTTTCTTGTAATGGACATTGTGAGGAGTTTTATTCAAAGGCAAACCACTTAGTTTTCCTCACCATGAAAAATGTAATTATGAACTTTAAACAACTGACTTTTCACTCTCCAAATTTTATAAAATTAAAAATAAACAAAACAGTACTGAAACAGAAGAGTTTTGAAGATTAGATTATGGGAAAGAGCAAGGCAATTAGTCAAATAACATACAAAAGAAGTCTTCAGCTTTTATACATTTTCAAACATCACTGTGATTAAAAAAAATACTTTTAAAGAATGTGTAACACATTTGAAGAAAATCATTTATAGCTAAAAATACTGCAGTAAAATTGTGGAATAACAATAAACTAGGCGACTTGAATCGGTTGGGTCATTTCTTAGCTATTGACAGTAATACTTTTTCTATTGCCTAGATGTAAATGTGATAAATATACTGGATACTACATGTTGTTATCATCTTACTTTAATTTATTATGTTGATTTCATTGACATAATATTAGAGCAGTTAGAGCAGCAGAGGTTAGAGCAGTCGTCCTCCAGTGGGAGAGTTGAAGGTTCAATTCCACTAGCAGTCACATGCTGAAGTGTTCCTGGGCAAGGCACTGAACGCCTCCTTGCCTCCAATACATGTCCCATCAGTGTATGAATGTGATCTGAAGCACTGATTATTCTTTGAAGAGATCTAGTAGGGTGCTGCTTGAATGTGTGTGTGTGGAGGTAAATGAGGGCACAGATTGTGTTGTAAAGCACTTTAGCTTGATTAGATAGAAAGGCGCTATATAGATACAGTCCATTTACCATATATTTTCCAACATCACAACTCCATTGCTTAAGTTACTTTGCTGCCGACCCAATGCTCTGACCCACAAATTCATTCACTTTTAGAGGAATATCTCTCTTACATGACCCATACATTTGTTTCTTCTGTAACCCCTTCAATATTTTTTTTTTTAACATTGTAACTTTTCCATTACGTTTTTTCATTAAT